GTTTCCACACGAAGCGGAACTCTGGTGTTGGGAAAACTCGATCGAGATGCAAAAAACAAACGTGAAAGCCACATTTCGGTGTTGGGAAAAGTTAAAACTGTATCAATATGCAAACGTTAAAGCTTCACCGGCCAGCTGCGAGTCTGCGACATCCGCGACTCCGCGAGCCGGCACGATTTCAGCTGGGAACCTGGAAGGCAATCCGGACATAGAGCGGCTCGAATCGCTCCGTAACCGCAGCACCCGGCGCGGCAAAAGAAGAACTGTGTTTGTGTGCGGGAATGGAATGGAAAAGTAGGTACCTACCGGTGGCGATGTTCACCGTAGTTACTCGTACGTACAAAAGTCTTCACCTGCGCGCGAGGCGGCGGGGCTGCGGAATATAAATTTGTATGTATGGATTCGACGCGTGCGGTATGCAGTCCTCTGCCGGGAGTACCCCGGATTGGACTTGCCTCCCTAGAGTACTCTACATGCTTTGGTGCGGTACCCGTACGCAATGCGCATACTCTATGCTCGGGGTATCAACCATGGAGTACATACTCGGTACTAGCACATAACCGCCGACAGTGTGTTTATGTGCATTGACTGACACTCGGCTATTACTCCATCCAACCACATGCCATGCAGATGACGCATCATGCGAGAATTCTGCGCAGTGGATTGTCCAGCATATGGTGTATGGTGGGGCAGGAACAGTAGCCGCGCCGACGGTAGTTGGAGTAGAGCACGGTATAGGGCTTCGTTTTCGTATGATGTAGTTACCGTATACCGGTACTTTACTCTAGATGGATATTGCGTGCACGCGGTAAGCACGGGAGAATAGCTCCCGTCCGTCCATCTCGTTTTTTTTTCCCGTTGCGCTTTTTCTCCAGGATTACGGTATTCGCATTGAATGCTGAGACGAAGCTGCATTTTTCCGCGGGGGGATGGATGGGTACGGTACATACGGTCATCTCGTGTATGTGGTGTCTGCCTGCCTGCCTCTGCAGCACTGCACGAGCACCCGCAGCAGCAGCACCACCACCACCACCACCACCACCAGCAAGCAGACGGCGATCAACATTTCGGTTTCTTCTTAGCCTTGCCTCTTACCTACAACTCTGCCTACTCTCCACACTCTAGCACTCCAAGGCCCGGCTTGACTGGATCTGAACATGCCGGCGGCGCGGAGAGAGGGATCGGCTTGGGCTGGCTGCTGGCTGCTGGCTGCTGGCTGCTGGCAAGGTCAAGGACCGCGGCGTGTATCTTTGACACTCCTGATCATCCATCCATCCATCCATTCCAACTCTACATCCTCCGAGCATTCCTCCCTTCGACTCCATCTCTCCCGCAAATGGCAGATATCCGTTAGCTCCACCCGCCTCGCCCCGCCCCGCACCCGCCCTCTTCTTCCTTCAACTCCCTCTCAATACATACACCGATCCAGCCAAAGGTCTCCCAGACAGATATTCTTCCCCTCGTTGCGGTTCAAGAGAAGTGAAAAAGGTCAGTAAACTTACAGAGCCCCATCCCATCCCCCCGCCACCTAGCGGATGGACCCTAGAGTACCCTATGCTACATACGCCATTTCTTGTTGTGCGTGGGGAAACTTTTCTTTGACGTTGACGTGATGTGACTTACACAGTTTAGTCTTCGATCCTCTCGTCAGTCCATTAACCTCGACGTCGCTCGCCCTCTCTCTCTTTCTCTCTATCCCTCTATTCCATCTCCCCCTCCAAACCCGCGAGTCGTTGTGGTCAATCAGCAATACCGGCAATGAACTCGATCAAACTCATCGCAGGATCGTCGCACCGGGGTCTGGCCGAGGGCATTGCTGACCGGTATGTTCCGTCCCTGTGTTGCGCGACTTTTTTTTTTTCTGGGGAGAGTGTGGGGGAATTGCTTTTTCCTAGTTACTGACTACAAGACACAACGAAACACAGTCTCGGATTGGAATTGACTCGGGTCAAGGTGTCGCACAGCTCCAACCAGGAGACGTACGTCGCGATCCAAGAATCCGTTCGCGACGAGGATGTCTTTGTGGTGCAGTCCACCGCGCCCGGCGAGGTCAACGACGGCCTCATGGAGCTCCTCATCATGATCAACGCGTGCAAGACCGCGTCGGCCCGACGCATTACCGCGGTCATTCCGAACTTTCCCTATGCGCGCCAGGACAAGAAGGACAAGAGCCGGGCTCCAATCTCCGCGAAACTCGTCGCCAACATGCTGCAGGCTGCCGGGTGCAGTCACGTCATCACGATGGATCTTCACGCCAGCCAGATCCAGGGGTTCTTTAATGTGCCTGTCGATAAGTACGTGGCTCCGGTGGCGGGTACGGGGGATGGGATGGGATGGGATGGTTGGTTGTGGCGGTGGCCTGTGGCCCGTGGCTAATCGGTCGGGTACAATAGCTTGTATGCGGAGCCCTCGACTCTGGACTGGATTCGTCGGAACGTAGACTACCGGAACGCGGTGATCGTCTCTCCCGACGCCGGCGGTGCGAAGCGGTAACCCCCCTTCTCTCCGCATCCCCGCCACCTCTTTTCTCGCCTCCGCCGCTAACGTCTGGCCCACTAGTGCGACTGCCATCGCCGACCGCCTGGACCTCAACTTCGCACTGATCCACAAGGAGCGCCCGCGCCCCAACGAGATCGGGCGCATGGTTCTCGTCGGCGACGTCTCGGGCAGGGTCGGCATCCTAGTCGACGACATGGCGGACACCTGCGGCACGCTGGCGAAGGCAGCACAAACCCTCAAGAAGCACGGCGCCACCAAGGTCATCGCGATCGTCACGCACGCGATCCTGTCCGGCGCGGCGTGCGAGATCGTCGAGAAGAGCGAGCTCACCATGCTCGTCGTCACCAATACCGTGCCCCACGAGGACAAGAAGAAGCGCTGCAAGAAACTCAGGACTATCGATATCTCCCCCACCCTCGCAGAGGCCTGCAGACGCACCCATAACGGCGAGAGCGTGTCGTTTTTGTTTTCGCACGCGCCGCCGAGCTGAGCGGATGGATGAAGTGCTGGCTGGGATTGTGTGTGTGCGTGCCATGGCCGATGCGGCGGGAGTGGGGTGGGCGGTGGCGGGTGTTAATGGGTTTGTTCCTTCGCCGCTTGGCGCGGCTCACGTTCGATCGATCTCGGAGGGGGCTCTGGGTGGGGGCTGCCCTCTCTCTCTCTCTCTCTCTCTCTCGACTATTTTGGCTGGGGAAACCTAGGCGATGAAGTCTGTACCTACCTACCTACCTACCGTGCTCACCTCCTCCTCCTCCGACAGTTTCTGTTTGTATCTACATATGGGTTTTCACGTTGCATTTTGCTTCGTTTCGTTTTCGTTTTTGCTGTTGCTTTTTGCTTTTGCTGTCGTCTTTGCTTTCGTCTTTTGCTGTCGTCTTTCGTCTTGACATTGGGGTTGACATTCGGGGTTTGCGTTTGTTCCGAGTATAGTGGGTGCTAATCTTTTTTTGATCTCTTTTTTTGGTTACGTTTGATCGTTTGTGTAAATTATGTACGTTGGTTGGCTTGGTTTGGTTCGAAGGGACGGAGGAAGGGAGGGAGAAAAGGGAAAGTCACAGCACAACTATTATACAAAAAATCTTGGGATTGGATCGGATCGGATAGGGTGGGACACTGGGATCGGGATTGGGACTGGGACTGGGACTGGGACTGGGACTGGGACTGGAACTGGAACTGGAACTGGGACTGAATTGGCTTGCGTATGGTATGTACGGGTACGGGTACGGGATATGTATGGGAATAGAGAGAGATGGGAGTTCTGATGCTTTTTGTTTGTTTTTGTCTTTGCGTTATTGGATGTATGGGTGCTAGGAGATGTATGTATGTTGTAGGGCGACGGGGATATAGGGAGGGAAGGTGGAGAGAATGAAGGTGAAGGTGAATGATGGGATGGAACTGAAACTGGGAGAGGGTAGAAGTTGTCTTCTACTTGCTAAGAAGTATGTATGAAGTATGAAGAAGTATGAAGAAGTATGTACCGTATGTGTTTACAGACTACATGCGAAATAGATTTACATTGACCATAATGCGTGATACTTTCTCGGATGGTCCATCTCTTCTCGACAACCTCTTACACATACGAGTGTTTTTTTTTCTCTTTCTGTTGGTTTGTTTGTCTATTTTGTTTACTCGTCAATTGCTATCATAGCAGCCGGACTGCACGGGACTACACGGGACCGCACAGGATGGACGGGACTGCACGGGACGGACGGGACGGACTGGATGGCTTTCGACACTGGTGACTCTCGACGAGGGCTTAGAACGAGTTATCGCGTCGATACTACTTGCCTAGGACATTTACCGGTACTCGACTCGACCACAGACTGCCCTGACGATTCACGAAGATGATGATGTTTTCCTCGTGTGTCTGGTGCGAGGGCCCAAGCTGGAAGACCACCTACGGGAGCGGTTTCGATAGATAGTCCCGACTCCCGACGGGGTGGTCCCATATTGTGTGGCCAAGTCATCAGTAGCCAAGTCCACCGGTAAACATCTATATCGCATCGCATCACATCCCCTCATCACACCAAGCACGAGATCCCAACATCTGGAGTAACACCTCTCGATTCCAGACTACGAACGTAAGTACAAACCCCTCGCAGTGCAACCTGCACGTTGCCTTGCTTGCGGCCCATCCCATCGCGCTGCAACACAAAAAAGATGCCCTCCCCATCCCCCCTCTCCACCCTACACCCACCCCACTCCACTCCACCACCACCACCACCACCAACATCCCGCCCCGTCCTCGGTAAAAACACAGAAGAAGCAAGAAGTACACCCGAACCATATTGAAGAAAACCCGAAGGAAAAAAAACAACACAATCCCCAAGCAAGAAACAGAAAAAAAAAGAAAAAACCAGTTATCCCCACTGAAAAAGAAATGAAATGCCGAAGAGAAAAAGTAGGAAAAAGCAAAGTAAAAAAACACCCGGATGCCCACAATCAAACAAAACTCAAGTGCCCAAACAAATTCTCTATCCCCAAAGAAAAAATAAAAGCAATCACGCGAAACCAAAGTATCTATCACGACTGTTAGCCTGTACTCCCCGGAATGGTGCAAAGGGGATACATACTCCGCGCCTTGGTGATAGCCGTCAACAACTGCTGTCTCAACGTCTCATAGCTCTCGTATTCTGGCAAGTCGAGTTCTACGCATCTGTTAGCCATACTCCATGAAGATAAACAGATTAGAGGGGGTAACTCACGGTTGAAGCACGTATGCGAGCTCGGCAGGCGGTCCTTGTTTCCATAGTCGCGGTGAATATTGAACTTGGAGAAGCCATTCATACCCTCGAGCTCCTTAAAGCCGTTGAGGGGTACTTTAGACGTGCCGGTAACGAACTGCAGCAACTTTGCGCGCTCCTCCTTGTCAAACGATCTCACAGCCCGCCAGAACCACTGAATCTGCGACGAG